GTGAAGTGTGAAGTGTGGAGTGTGAAGTTTCAAGTTCGGAGTGCGAAGAGTGCAGTGTGAAGTGTGGAGTGTGAAGACTTTGCTTCGTCTCTCGCTGAAAAAATCAAACGGTTGTCGAGGGAAGGACACGGTCGGGACAGGGTGTCTTTGAACTATAGGTCATTTATGTTTGGGAAACTTCCGCCGCCGGCTTGCCCCGGTCTATGTTATATATATATATACGTACATTCATACACAACCATGAAATATACATTTCAACCGGATATATATATATATATTTATTTATTTATTTATTCACATTTATGCATATATCGGCTTAGTTCGATTCATAAGAATTCGCTATTGAGAAGCAATCCACTCTGCAGAGGATGAACACGAACCTTTTTTGGGGGGGTTGTGCGTGACGTTTCTTTGAAAGCAGTGATAATTTCTGTGAAACAATTGCTACTTCTGTGAAATTCATGACAATGGTGCCAAACACGGTAAAGAATTATTGAGTGAACTATACCCATGGTTATGCATTTACATTACATATTCATGTCTAAGGAAGATACCCGTCATGCATGAAGGTTTTTCATTTCCATGTTTCATTGCCGGATGGTATGGCTACTGGTCGTCAAGGTTGGACCATCCTTTGGTGAGTTTAGCCACGGTTGCTGATTAATCCAACTATGTCCCATTCTTTCAAAATCCCGTAAATATCCCAGTACTCGCCATTAATCACTGTGAGCCACCATCAAAATCCCATGATTTCCCAGTATCATGATCGGTTTATATTCCATTAGTGGGAGTGGAATATTATTGGTGGTTCAGGAAAATTGTTTTCGATGCTGAATATCCTGGCAATCAATCTTCATAGCTGAGATACCCCAGTAATCAATCCCATCAAGACCCCATTCATATCCCATTAATCATCACTAATCGCTACGTATTAATAGTCCATTAATCACCACTAATCAGCATCAAAATCCCATAAAAATATCTCAATTTCTGGATCCTTCCCCGCTCAGATGAAACGCTTCAATCTCCACAGCCCAGTGGAGCGCAAAGCACGCACGAGATGTGCCTCGCTCAGTCCTTCAAGGTGATGCCGCCTCCAGTAATGGGCTATAAGGGAATTACCGTCTGGTAAAATACAAAAAAGATGGAAAATCACCATGCTTAATGGGTAAATAAACTAAAAATATTGCCATTTTCAATAGCAAACTGTAACAAATTACCAGAGGGTAACTATATAGATAGATCACCTATAAACCATAGTGAAATTAGAGTTGTAAACCAACTGAACGCTATCGAACGGGGGCACCACCTTGTTCGAAGCCCGGATCAATAAACAATGTTTGTCCATGTTGGTTCTATAGTTCTTGGTACTTGATTGATAACAGTGATTATATGATACGTAAGTGGGACCCCCCAATTAAGTAGTGATTGCTATAAAATGGGGATACATAATGGCTATATATATATACATACTTATAGATATTTATATATTATATTTTGTTATATTGTATTTTATTATATTACATTTTATGTTTTTGTATTGTATTATATTACATTATATTATATCATGTTGTATTATGTTATATTATATTAAATTATATTATACTATATTATAGTTTAGTAACAGTATAGTATAGTATATTTTTATATTTTCTGTATGTATATATGTATGTATATACATATATATATATACATCCATATATATATATACATCCATATATATATATATGTATATCCATATATATATATTGTTGGATCAATCCCAAACACTGGTAGGGGCTCCTAAATTCCAATCTTCTCCAAAGTAAAAGGGGACCCCTGGTCCAAACACCAATGAAAGCACCTCCGGATGCTATGGCGACCGCGCCCTTTTGACACCACTGCAATTGGTGCAAAGTCGAGGGGCACCCTAAGCCCTCAACACATCCTGAGCCACAGGACCTTGAGATATTCATGGTACAGATACCCACATGGAGGCCAGTTGATACAACTCGTTGTAAAGCTTCCGAAACTGCACCAAGTTGGAATGCAAAGAGTTGACAAATCACACTCCCAAAAAATCTTTCAAGATCTTTGTTTTTCAGTTTGCTCTGCAACAAAAATAAATTCTGCCTTCTCAGAGATACCTCATCATGGGTATGTCCATGCGCAGGGAATGGAACTGTAACCTTGGAATCTGGGACATCAGCGATGAAAATTGCTCTGATAAAGTCCGCATCTCAAGATTGAAGCGAGATTTCTTCGCATCCAGCTTCATCAAAAATTCCCAACAAAAGCGCAAAAGCATGCAAGGCTGATTCTGGACCACTCGACTGCTGATACCATTGCTGACGCACTTTCTTGTCAGCACGTTGTCGAAGGATTTCATCAACATCATGGAGAATACATCTTCCTCGGGACAAAAAGGATCTCAGCACAGAGTTATCCATATCTTTAGTTAGACTATCAGCCATTTGAGCGGCACTGTGGACCCATTTAATTATAATCCCTTCTTTTAGACGATCACGGATTACCAAAGCTTCTAACATCGTCCTATATTCTGTACACTGAGGGATGGAAGTCTTTTGCAGAAGGTCATAAAGGCTTTTGCAATCAACCACAGCGAAAGCCGGTGGAAGTTTCTTCAGAGTGATCTCAGGGGTCTGCCATTCTAAGTTAGGATTCAGCATCCAGGCCCAGTGCAACCGAATCCAGCTGAGGAGATCTAAGGCACCCGAAAGGGCGTAAGTCTCAGACGCCAGAGTGCTTGAAACAACACGGCTGATTTTCTTTGAGAACCAAACCAAAGGGCTGACAGCGGACATCTGAGTCTTATCAATTTCTTCTGTAGTGGCAAGTATAAGACATCCCTTCTGTGAATTGGCTTTTTCTCTGGTTGCGAATGCAGCATCAGAAAACGAAAGAAATCTTACTTGATCGGGAGGAAGAGCTTGTATTGTATTGTATTGTATTGTATTATGTTATATTACATTATATTGTATTATTTTATGTTTTTGTATTGTATTATATTACATTATATTATATCATGTTGTATTATGTTATATTATATTAAATTATATTATACTATATTATAGTTTAGTAACAGTATAGTATAGTATATTTTTATATTTTCTGTATGTATATATGTATGTATATACATATATATATATATACATCCATATATATATATATGTATATCCATATATATATATGTATATATATATAGTCCAATTTCAATGTCATCTTGGAGCCTTTTTACCAATCCCGATAACTATGTAGTGGTGATATATGATGGCTTTTTGATTTTACCATTGAAAATTGGATAAGAATGGGAGTTTACCATTAAAAAAGAAGATATTATACCCCCCATTTTCCCAGTAGGGCAATATAATGGGATAACAATGGGATTTTACCATTGAGAATAAGGATTTGGTGGGGATAATGGAGAATAATGGGATATGCTGCACTAACATATCAACATGGTTTTTGTAACTTGTAACAACAGTGTTACTGGGAATTGCCAATATATGGGATGAATAATGTCCATATATAGATGTCATATGTATATAATATATGTACTGTGGATTTCATTGGATGTATCACCAGTAATGTGGTAGTTGGGCACAATATGATGTATACCCTTTGGTAATTTACTGCAGCGCGCTTTGGATAAGAATCACATTGCATAGGTAAATCATCGAACTAAAAGAGCAATTTCCATAGCTATCTCAAAGTACCACAGCAGGGTAGCTTTTGATTTCTTCCAGAATGGGGAAGGATGATATATAATCATTCTGTTACTGGGTATAATCATATATAAACAAACATCAGATCAGATCTTAAATTCATCCGTTTGTCCCGTGTTTTTCCAGGACATCTGGATTCATCATCCTTGCGCATGCGTACTTGACGCTGCGCTACTGGGTGCTTACTTCTATATGCACAGGCACTTGGTGCTACGCCACTGGATGTTTACTTGCGTGCAAACGCTTGAAGTGCTACGCTACCACGCGTACTTGATGCCTAGGGCTTAAGAACATTTTGTTCCAACTTCCAGGCTTCAAACGTAACCCACACATAGCCGAGTCAGAAAAAAGTGCCAGTGCTGCAAGGGTCGCCCGACATGAACTTCCTCCGCAACCCTTCCATGACTTTCAGCCCCTGAAAACAATAAAAATCCAATCCGAACTTTCATAAACACTAGGTTTTGTGCAGATTGCATGTTTCTCACTAGTTCAGAAAGCCACTAAACACGCCATCCTCAAGACGCTGTCACCATGCTTTTCCTATGGTTTTCCCATTTTGTCCCATGATTTCCCAGTCTTTTCCTATGATTTTGCCATTGGTTTTCCCATGTTTTCTGCTGAGGCGTACATGGTCGAGGTCTGAATCAGGTCTGCGAGGCGACAAAGGGCCCAAGTTTGGTGGTGAAAAGTGGGGATTGGCTTCTGGGAAGCCTCACATTTATGGTAGGTAAATCCACTTTATAATAGCTATCACCAGACATGTTTTATTACATAAATAGCTATAATGGCTATAATAGTGCTAATGATAGGTAAATCCACTTTATAATAGGTAATCCAGTTTCACTATGGTTTATAGGTAATATATCTATATAGTTACCCTCTGGTAAACATACAAAAAGCTATTGAAAATAGCCATAGCAATAGGCAATAGTTGATTTACCCATTAATCGCATGGTGCGTTTCCATCGTTTTTTTTGTATGTTTACCAGAGGGCAATAGCTATTACCAGACATTTGACTAACTATTTTAATAGCTAATATAGTGGAGCTATTATAGTGGATTTGCCTATTAGCTGGATTATAATGACTAACTATAATGGCTATGATTTTTTCCCACCCAGTTATTACCTGACAGAGCTATGGAGAATCCTCATTTAGAATAGGCTAAATCCACCATAGATGGGCAATGTTCAAGTTCGCAAACTGTTAATTTCCAGAGGGTACTGGATTTTTCTCTGCAATGGGCAAAAGTTGGATTGGATACCCATATTGGGGATGGCCATCAGTCCATGAATCAAGATGTACCCATCCTGCTTGGATCATTTTGGGATGACCTTAAACCAAAAAAAACATGCTTTGACCCTAGCACATACGGTGATTATATGGAAAATATTGGAAACTATAGCAATAGTCTGATAAACCATGGGATTAATGCGGTTTATACAAGGAAAATACTGATTTGATCTGAGTTTACCCAGCAATAAACTACATAGTTATAATGCTATGAAAATTCACTGGTTTCCCCAGACATCATCTACAAGCAGCGGTACAGTAGACCCATTGGTGTACTGTCAACATTGGGTTTCTACCAACCGAAAAGGGAGCCAACAATCCAGCATTTGTTTACAGCTTTAAACAAACAGAAGCAGTTCGCAACCAGGTTTTTGACGATGCTCTGGGATGGGATCAATTTAGCTTCATAGCGCGAGGCAAAGAAACAAGGGATACATACGTCATCCCATTGTGTGCGCGTAATCGACTCCGAACTCAGGAAGCTCCAGCCCAGCCCATCCCATTCTTTTTCAAAAGGTCAGCTTGTTCTTTTTCCTGACATTGTCCAAAAGTAAAAAGAGGAGGCCAAATGCATATCCTAACCTTGAAGGCCTAAAAACCACCATTCCCAATTTACAGCTTCAAAAAATTGACCAGAAAGCAGAAAAGGAAAGGGATCACGAAACAGAAAAGGAAAGGCAAACTGGGTGTTTTTTGACAGCTGATTTTTTTTGCGCAGCTTCAACGAAGTTGGAAACTTCACTATGCGGAACGGAAGAAGAAATGACTTTACGGTCCCCACCGTGACAAAGTTCACGAAAGGTAGCTCCAGTGGTGCCCAGTGACCTGATTCAGGCGATGTTCATTTCAGGAACCCCCACCCCGTCATTGCCAGGATCACGTGGCAAATATGAGCGGGTGTCAAGCACTGGAGCGGAGGCTCTTCAGCGTTTTTTGTTTTGCGTTCGATCTGAAGTTTGACCAAAGTTTGGAGATGATCCCCCAATGATGATCACCCCAAAGATGGGTCTCTTCAAGCATGGTGGCGCTGCGGAAAACGGGGTTTTAAACAATTTGCTGGGGGGTAACCCATTTCTGGATAAAGCACACTGTCCAATTTATGTTTTGAATGTCGGCGCTGATGTTTGAAACGTGTGCATTGCATGTTGTACCAGATACATGATGATGGATTGTTTTACTTGTGTCATACCCTTATTTTGGCAGAATATAACCCCATTCGATATGATTCGGGGATACCAGAATTATACAACCATGTGCCACTGTTTCGCCGGTTTTTTGAGTATAAGCGGATCCTTCAACCATGCGTATTTCCGTTTACACTTAATTTTAATGCGTTCCCGTTTTGTATGGTCGCGTTCTAAATATTGATACAGACACACGTCACTTAGATACCCATCTACTGTATACACCTCTCCATATAGCTTTTCGACTTTTGGTGGCTTGCCCGTTCATGAATCCACCAATCCCACCACCGGGACATGCCAGGCTGAAGCTTTGGATGAAGGCATCCATACGGTGATTGCCTCGAAGGAGGCGCAGAATCAAACCGGCGAAAAATCCACGATGGGTCCATGGAGCTTCCCAGTTGGTTGCGGCCCCGTTTGAAATTGTGGAGTTCATGTGGCATTCAACCAGAAAAATATAAGACACGTGTTGATGAATGGGGTGCAGAAGTAGAATTAGATTTAATTGTTCAGAATGCGGCGTTAACAACAAAAAACGGAGGAGAACAATGGCCATGAAAAGATTGGCAAAATCATGGCAAACCATTAGCAGGTAACATTGGGGTGATTGGGTGCACATGGTTTTATATCATATCCACTTGCAATCATTCGAAATAATCATGAACCAGTTGGTTGGGATTTAAACCAGCAAAACTGGCGGAAATCCAATGGTTAATTATCAAGAAAGGATGGAAAAAATTATGGCGCAAACCAGAGGAGAATAATCATCAATCAGGGATACAACCAAAAGAAATGTGGGACGAACGGGGTCATTAACCTTCTCCATTTCAAGGTATCTAACAATATGATCATCGGAGTGTATCCATTTATATCCGTTTACCACCGTTCAGGACAATGAAATGTGGGATATAGCATGGTAGCCCCGGCAGAAATTGTACATGGGAATGGCAACTGGAAAAAATGGTGTTTGAAACTGGAAAAGTTGCTGCTTGAGCATGAATGATGAGCAATTAATTTGTTTAAGCTGATTGCATTTTGGTCCATATACCCTATTCTTGACCAATACTTTTCTTGAGAAGTCTAATTTTTGGGGTTGTGACCGGAGTTCCTTCCAAGATCTTGTGCAAAATCACCATGTTTGTAACACACTTCGCCGCACCCAAGCGCACCTCTAGCCACGAAATTGCACCCCTTCTTGGGGGTGCAGTTCCAGCTATAAAGAGGTACACACACACACACATGCATGCATGCATGCATGCATGTGTGCGTACGTGGATTGCATTGCATTGCATTACATACCATACCATACCATACCATACCATACCGTACCATACCGTACCATACATCTCACCATAGCTATGGGCGCTAGATCCCAATGTCGGGATTTGCTTCACCATTGCTATACCCATCAAAGTCACCCTGCACTCCAGACCTTGCCAGCTGCAGGTTGTTGCTGCTCTTGCAACCGCGAAAGCCCGATATGACGAGGAACAGCTGGGCAGCCATTGTTTGAAACCTATTTGCGTTCATCATGTCGATATCAGACTACGCATATCCCATAAGGATGGGATTACAAGGGGCCATTGTTTCAATTTGATGCCCCCATCCATTCCAATCATATTAAAACGATTAGTGACTAGCATCTAAATGACTGATCTGATTCGGTATGATTTTGATACCTAATGTTTTTGATGGCCTTTAGTACGCTCATTGATCTGATACCGGAATGCTTAGAATATGATGCAATATTACGCATATTGAACATTCAAAATGTGCGATGGTTAAACTTTCATATCCCCATCAATCCCCCTCCATTTGGTATGAATTCAGTATGGCAGGTCCAGCACCAAATCGACTGCCATTCGACACGTTCGTCGTACTAGATGTTTGTTAGTTATACCCCTCGTGCCCAATGGCTGAATTCCATTCTAACCCCCATTTGGCTGATTCCCCCAACTAGCAGGCGGAATCACGTGAGGATAGCCGGTGAATTTTAAGATTTCAATAGGGCAGGAGGGGGAAAAGTACCCTCAACGACCGCATTTTTCCTATCTTTTTGCTTAAGGCCGATGCTGTGGACAGATATCAGGGCCCTTTCTACAAGATGTATTCCTGGTTGGTGGTTTCATATTAACCATTGTATCTAGGGTGATCCTTTACTACCAAATTTGGAATGGGTTGAAACCACCAACCGGAGAAGTCGCAATAAACTTTGTGTTGGGTTCGGCCAAAGTGCCTCCCAAAGTCCTCAGCAAACTGGTCGTACATGGCTGCATTTGAGCTCAGCATCGCGCTCGGCGCCTTTGTAAAGCCCTCTAAGGTTTCACTACGTGCCTTGGAGTGGCTTAAAAAAGGTGGGGCTCCTGCTGAGAAAGGTTTGGTTCAGTAAAACCTACATGAAGATGGGGTTGTTTAAAAGATTTGGAACCGCCGTTACATCCCATTGGTTTGGAAAATCATGTTCCCCAAAAAGTAAATGCCAACGACATTAAAATATATGGAGGGCGGGCGAGACCGCGACGCCCCGGAGGTAGTATGAAACACCAGTTCCATCCGTATATTTAAATGTGCGTGTGTGTAAACAAATTGGATTCCGTACATTTGAATGGCCGGGCGGGCCAAGGAAAACCTTCCCGGAGGTAGTCTAAAGTACCAGTTCGTATATTTAAAAAGCCGTATATTTAAATGTAGTTACCGTATAAAAGGACCGGATAACCCCACATGTCAATTTCTTCCAATAAGTAGCCAAAGAAAGGCGAAAATGGGACGGGAAAGGCAGGAAAAAGAAAATATATGGTGGAGGATTGGTATGTGCAAGAAATGCATGTCGAAGTGAGGTGTGTGAAAGAGTTCCGTGTAAAAGTGTTGTTGGTGAAATAAGAGTGTGTAAAGGTGTGGTGTGTAAAAGTGGAGTGTATGTGTGTGTGTGTGAAAGAGTCGTGTGTGAAAGTGCTGTGGGTGAAAGAGTGGTGTGGGACAGGGGGGGTTACAAGTGTTGTGTCCAAGCATTGCGTGGGAAAGTGCGTGTGTCAAAGAATTGTGTGAAGAGTTGTGTGGGACAGAAGTGTGTGTAAAGGTGTGGTGTAAGAACGTATTGTGTGTGTGTGTGTTAAAGTGTTGTATGTACAAGTGTTGAGGGTAAGTGATGTGTGATCATGTCACCAAGAACCACACCAGCCCAGTGCCATAAGCGCCACACCTGCCACAAACGAAGGTCGATGTCACCAAGTGCCACGCCTGCCACACAAAGTGCCGCAAAGATGGTGTGTGACAAATTTGTGTGTGAAAGACGGTGTGTGTGTGTGTGATAATTTTGTGTGTGAAACACGGTGTGTGACAAAGTTGTGTGTGAAAGACGGTGTGTGACAAAGTTCTGTGTGAAAGATCGGTGCGTGACAAAGTTGTGCGTGAAAGATGGTGTGTGTGTGTGTGACAAAGTTGTGTGTGAAAGACGGTGTGTGACGACAAAGTTGTGTGGGAAAGACGGCGTGTGACAAAGTTGTGTGAAAGATGGTGTGTGACAAAGTTGTGTGTGGAAGATGGTGTGACAAAAGTTGTGTGTGAAAGATGGTGTGACAAAAGTTGTGTGTGGAAGATGGTGTGACAAAGTTGTGTGTGAAAGACGGTGTGTGTGTGTGTGACAAAGCTGTGTGTGAAAGATGGGAGGAGGGCGGGAGGAGCGGACGGAAGGACGGAAGAGCGGACGGGATACAGAACCAAAAACAAGAACCCCACACAAAGATCTGGGGAAAAAGTAGTGCTTTGAGATCCAGTTGGAATCGGCTGCTTGGGTATGTGG